ACTAAACACAGGAAGAGCCAAGACTAAATACAGGGAGGGGTAATCACAGGACGAGAAACAGCCGGGCTGGCAGGGGAGGAGAAACAGAAGGGCGACAGGTGAACACAATCAGACAATTAGACACACCAGGGAAACTAACGACAAGGAGGAAAAACACAGGGAGAGGGACCAAACAATACACAAGGAGAAAAACAAGACAGGGAGAACCGAACAGCAAAATAAACCCAAACATACAAAACTACAAACGTGACATAACGTGAGAATCGTGACACAGCATCATGTGCTCTGTGTCTGCGATCATAGTTGTGTCTCTGTTTTTGTCTGTAACTTTGTTCTGTCAATTTCAACCTTATCATATCAGCACATCCTGGGTTGAGCTGTGATGGAATGACAGGAACGAGTGTCATTATCTTCCTCCCCATGAGAAGCTCTGTGTGACTGTATCCATTTGCCAGAGGAGTAGCATGGTAGGCCATGAGGGCAAGATATGGATCACTTGATTTCTTAAGGAGACCTTTGATTGTCCTCACAGCCCGCTCCGCTTCTCCATTGTTCTGAGGGAAGTGGGGACTGGATGTCACATGACTGAAGTTCCAGTCCTGGGCAAACTTCCTGAACGGCTTGGATGCAAACTGTGGTCCATTGTCTGAGCGCACTATCTCTGGCACCCCATGTCGTGCAAAGATAGACTTGAAGTGTGTGATGACTGCCTCTGATGTTGTGGAAGTTAATTTTGCCACTTCAAAAAATCTTGAAAAATAGTCAACAATGACCAAATAATGTTTGTTGTCTAATTGAAACAGATCTGCTCCCACTGTAGACCATGGTCTCTGTGGGAACTCAGTAGGCATCAATGTCTCTCTGAGGTTTGTTCTCTCCCAGCTACATGTGTCACAGTTCTCTATCACTTTTGTTAACTCCTTGCTGAGTCCTGGCCACCACACAGACTGTTTTGCTCTTTCTCTGTATTTGGTTATCCCCTTGTGACCTTCATGCAGCTTGGTGAGCATGTCAGCTCTGAGCGATGTAGGGGTCACTACCGGCGTAGTTTTCGTTATGATTTTACTTGTGATGGCCACATGTAGCCCATGTATTGATTCCATCCGATGGTTGCAATAATACAAAACAAAAGGAAAACGTCTGCCTCTTCACAATGGTCAATAACAGTGAACGGATGGTTATTAAAGTAAGGTAAAATAAACAGAATCACACTAAGCCTGGTTAGTGTTGCCTGACTTTATATAAGTGTGTTTTATAAGTGTGTGGTCGCGTTCTAGTCACTTTGCTCAGCGCTACTGCTTGTTACAACTTATATTCGCCGATCTTGCCGGGTTGCAAAGTGGGGCCAGCTGAGAGAATAGACCAGACTACAGGAAAGGTAAATTGTGTCTAGAGTGCGCCATCTAGTGGGATCAACTGAAATGCCGGGTATTGCAGGAAAAAGGCAAAATGAATGCGGTCTTTACTATAATTTGGACAATTTTGTACCAATATTCGGCGGGCCGGATTCAAAAGCCCAACGGGCCGTATATGGCCCGCGGGCCTTAGTTTGCCATGCCTGAGATAGACTGTTCGGCCACATGGAAACGCAGATAACGATAACGGATCCCAAGGTGGGTAGATCTGCAAACGAAACGCTCTACGATCATTTCCTGATAACGTTGAAGCAATAGCCCCGCATTTCCCACCTCTCCTGCTCAGAGATCAGCTGCTGGGCTCTCAGAAGAGGGGGAGGAAAAGAGAGGCTCCTTTTTAAAAAAAATTGTTATATAGAGTTCATTCATTTGTTTTAAAGCTCAATAAATAACAAAGAAGACCTTTGACCGGCACTTTTCGAATTTTTAAACTTGTCGAAAAAAACTGAAACTCTGCCGCACGGTCCCCTCGTCCCTTGGAAGAGGCGGAGAGGTGCGTGTTTGTCATCTGCTGGTGGACTAACCGGAGAGAATTACAGCAAGGGATGGATTGAATAACAGAAGCAGGAGCAAACGCTTGCCTCGGGGAGGGAGAAAAAGAGCCAGAGCGTCCACAGTGGAGAATAAACAGAAGGGCAACCATGGCAACCATGCGCTGGAAGTCTTCTTCGCTGCTTTTGTGGCAGGACTACAACGCCACTTACAGGCCTGGCATATGTACTACAGCGTCTCCAGCGCTTTCAAGCGGTCTCGTGTGAACGGACACGTTTCTGGTGCCTGTTGCGTGTGGACAGAAGACTTTTTTGATAACGATTGCTGTCCGTTTGCGTTATCTTCCTCGTGTGGCCGGGGCTTGAGCCCCATTAAGAATGCTTTGAGGATTATATCTGACAATTTTGCCACCTGTTCAAAAACTATGGCTCCTATAAAAGAAAGGACCAGAAAGTGAGCATCAGGGAACCCCAATGAACTGATATGTTTTTTTTTTGGGTTTTGTGTGTAAAATGTGAAGAGTAAACAGCATTCGCACTAATTAAATACCACAAAGTGTAGGACTCAGGAGGACAAACAAAGGGTATTCTTAAACCAGCTCTAACTTTAGGCTTTATTAAAAAGGAAGCTCTTCAACACACATCTTGGTCTGCCTCCCTAATAAAAACAGGAAGTTGAACATGAGATAGTGTACGGTCACTAACCTGGCAAAGGTTTCCTCAGGCAGGGCTTTTTGTGCCTCACCGTCCTGGCTGCAGAGTGTGTCGGCAGCGGGGGGGTCGCTTGGGGAGGGGCTCTGCTGATGCAGGCGGCGGATCGTGTGGCAGGAGAGGAGATGAGGGGTGAGGGAGAGCTCGTGGACCCGGGACAGGACGATGTCCTCAGTAGACTGGGAGACGAGCACCCGGAGCACCGCCAGGATCCCCGACACCCACAGCTGCACCGTCCCTACGGAAGCCTGGAGGAGAAAAAAGTCAGTACGTTTGCTTTTACTTAAAAAATAGACATGGTTTAAGGTACATTAGATGGAGAAATGAAAAGTCTATCCAGGGCTTTGTGTAGATATCAGAAGAGATGTCTCACCATGGTAACCGGGGTGGTGAACATACTCTTGAGCAGCATATCCACAGGTCGGAGAGAGGAGGGGGCCACCGTCTCAAAGAGAGTGTTCAACACCCCCAACGCCTCCGGAGAGTCCAGGTGCATCTGGGAGGTACAACAGACAATGTTCACTAGTGACAAGAAAGGTTTTCACCAGACCATTTCAAAGCATACAGGTTTCAAATCAAGGGATAATATTTGTCAGTGTGCACCAAAATGTTTTATCTCACTGTATAAATATTAGTGATGTAATGAAACAAAGTACATTTGGTTAAGTGACATATTTGTAGCTGAGTATTTCGGATTTATGCTCCATTTACTTTTAGGTGGCAAATGTTGTACTTTTTACTCTATTACAGTTATTAAACAACGATTAACAAGTTACAGGTTCAGGTTACTTATTTGTAACTGTACAGTAGGTATATTTGGTTTCTAGCAGAAAGACAAGGCATCCATTTTGACACACGTTTTAAAACACCACAGACAACACTTTTTTTAAGTATTCCATGCTTCATAACATTTAAAAACCACTAGAACAAACATGAACTATCAAATAAAATAGCCGTTGCTTCCACAGCATCTGTGACGCCTACTAGCTACTTTGGATTGATAAAAACACATATGCTAAGATGATGTGATGCAGTACTGTACTAATAATCTACCCAGAATTTTTAAATAGTACACAGTAAGTAATTGGAGCCAATATTGACAAACTACAACATACAAATGTTATGGTATGCATTTGCTGATAAGAGTGACATTCTGCACACTAAGTATTTTGACTATTGAATCATGAAGTACATTTTGATGCCAATACATTGTTTTTCAACATCCACCAATGGTTTGACTTTGACTTCTAGAACTTCTGTTTTCATACCTGCTGCTTAGAAATCATGGGAAGAATGACGTCAGCAATCTGCCTTGACAATCGCTTCCACTTGTCTTCATTCTCTTTGTGACACTGCTGCAGCACGAGGATGAACATCTCCAACACCTACAACAAAAAATATACAAAGTCAAATAACATTTCGGCAGAGAAAAGATTGTCAGGAACGTTTTCACATTTCCATGACGTGTTAGAATCCATGTGTGACCGTACCTGATGGTGTTGCACCAGTCTGAGCAGCATGGAGACCACCACCTCTTTCTGTGTTTCCAACTCTTTGCCTGCGTCTGCTTTGTTGGAGCCCCTCAGCACAAACAGGTCGTGGACTATTGGCTGCAGGGCTGGGATGGCTGTGGAGGAAGAAGGAAAGACAAATCTCATTACTTTAAAGTCATGTCTGTTTTATGAAAAAAAAGTTAGTCCTGTGAGGAGTTGTGTATGCACAGTTTATGGAACGAAAGCATTACAATTGTATAAACAAATTCTCAATTGTATATTTTGTAATATACAAGTTATTTATTGAATTACAATTTTCATATTTTTACTTTAAATTGTTTTGTTTGTATAAATAATTGTATTCTATTTTAAAAAAAAAGATGTTATTGATCATTTGACTTTTAGTCTATAGGTTTCTTAAAATATATTTTTATTGCACAGTTTAACTTCTTATGTGTATACAAATATTTGTATTACACTTTTTTATATTCTTTTATTTATTTTAATCTAAAATGGAGCAACTGTCTAAAAACACAGTTTCCCTCTGGATAAATCAATTTGGATAGTAAACTTCAGTGAAATGTGTTGACGAGTAGAAGAAAACATTAAAAAGGTAGTTCCCCTCACCATGTGTGACAGCTTTCCTGCCGCTCGCCATGATACCGTCACACAGCTGGATGATCTTGGGGATGCTGATTATCTGCTTGGAGTGGTAGCGCTCGTATGAAAGGAGCACCAGGAAGAAAAATATGTTTGGGATGATGGCCTCCGAATCTCTGTGTGACAATCATTTTTTATAGTTTACAGAACAACACTGGAATATTTGAGCTAGTATACAACAAAGTAAAAATCATTTCTGGAACAGACGCATGCAGAAGCAGTACTGCAGAAAGACCGGTAGGGATGGGTACCAAACCCCGGTATTAAACGGGCCCCGGGGCTGAATTATTAAAGACTGTTAAGCTCCGACGTTATCGGTCTTTTTATCGGTACTGGAGACATGTAAAACATATATGTCATGTGTATTATTGCTACACAAACATTATATTGCAGTTTTAGTTTCACCAACTCTGTTTCTAATATACAAAAAGACTGCAAAATGCGTCTGATTATTTTTTGTATTTTTGATCTTTCCAATCCAGACGAGAGCTCTCTCTCCCCCGCCTGCTTGCGAGGGGGCGAGTGTGTTGCTGCGTGTGTACATG